ATCCTAATTTCCTAGAATCCTAGTCTAATACTCAAACCACTATATCATACATAATGTATCTTTGATTTCTGTCATCTATGATATGGAAGAGGGAACAGGACTGATTGATAAGGATGAACTTGGTACACTGAGAGCAAGATGGAGATCCTTTATTGCCTTGTATAAAGCAGAAGTGCCATCAGATGGAAGTCTTTCTGAGTTTTTATAGTGGATTACACTCTACAAAGTACACACACAAATAATAGAAGCAATTCCATTTAATGCCAGCATTTCAGGTTTAAATTTAAAACATGCAACAATAGAAGATTGATTTTGGATCTATGATGTGCTCCAGTGACTGAATGAAAGTGACTTCATGCTTTTTGAGAAACATTTTTACAGATGTGGTCAAAGGAAAATATTCTTCAGAAAAACCAGCAACATCTGCAGATAGCATGACGATGATGTCACTGCTACTGGAGAATAATCCAAGAGCTTCCACAGACTGTACAAGACAGATGCAAATCACTAATCTAGCCCAGGCTCACCAGTCTATGCTCTGAATGTTTTGTATTTCAACTCCCATCATCCCCCATTAGCATGGCCAGCAACTAGTGATCATGGGAAGTGTACTCTAAAACCCCAAAGGATTCTTGGGTGTGGATTTACCACTTCCTCTGTGGTCTGTATTTTTTTTTTAAATGGGTGAGATCGGCTGCTACTTTGGAAGCAACTCATTTTCCATGATCTTGCACCATAAGTGAGACAATGAATTCAATGTGTACGTTTAATTTTCAGAAGGCACGCTGAAAGCCAGCTCTCATGAGTGACAATAATACCATTTGTTGTTGTTGTTGTTGTTATTTCCTAAAACAGAGACCTCAGGAAGAGTAACCCTTTTGCATATCTGCAACATGTTTGCTATGATAGAAAAATCAGTGTAGATTCTTGGTTTCACAATGGGAAAAAAAATGCTGGTCATAACTATTTTTAAAAAGTCTACCAGGCTGAAGTTAAATAGTTGTAATGAATAGAAATAATTTTTAATCTTTTGGGCAGTTTATAAATCTTTGTTCCAAATGGTGACTCAGTGACCACACGAGACCAGACAGAGTACATGCCAGATGCATTGTCAGCCATTGTATCATCTCTTGATCACACATTTACTCATGGACCATTATTCTTGCACATTGGCTCAGACAGTTAAAAAAGGGTTGGAGGGAGGCGATACTGAAGCTTCAATTGTTCTGGTAATTGTACCTCATGGCAAATAGTTAACAGTTTATTCAGTTTATTGAACAAAAGATGGCTGATCCAGGTGCATGGCAAATACATGACAAGGACTTTGAGTCACCTCAGTTCCTCCAGAAGCTGTTTTATCCACCACCAAATTATTTAAACTACTTTTAAACTCCAGAGAAAGAGAAGAAGGGCTTGCTGTGATTAGAATGAATGAAAACCCTTAGCTATGCTCACATAATTAGGTCTACTGGATGTTGGTAGTTGTCTGGATGCTAGCGTTTTTCTGGCGAGAGCTGAAACATAGCCTCTTCTGTTCCAGGTTGCTCCTAGAACAAAACTCAGTCACTTAGCCAGACTGACAGGTGTGAGAGACTTGTTGGAGAAACATGTCCAAACTGTTAAAAAAGAGCAAGAATTAATGTTTTCAGCTTCCAGATGCTCTTTGCTATGCAGGACTTAGCGTGATTTGTATTTGTTTATACTCTCTGGACCACCTATACTGTTAATAGCCTCTCTGCACAATGTCCTCTCCTTTGCTCCTTACAGATTATGTTTGTAGTTTTCAGAATGCTTGATTCAGTCATGACAACATAGGGAAGAAACAGAAGCTAGCTGATCACATCTATCCTTTTGTTCTTCATTGCCACATATTTTTAAGGCATGCACAAAGGCTGCTGTCCTAATTTTAGCAAAAACAACTGTTCATATCCAACTAAGGAGATCTTTCTGGGTGAACAAGGTTCCCCTTACACACCACTTCCTCAGTCTGGAACTAGGTAATACATTTGGTAGTGATTCTGATGTATGTCAGCCTGCAGATATGTGTATCTCTCTGCCATCTCTGCATCTTCTCATCTATGTGCTGCCAATAAATTATGCATCCCCCATGCACCCTGTGTGACACAGCCAGTCATATGCAAATACCTTCTTTAAGCATGACTAGAACTGAATTAGAGTAATTGTCATTGAATACTAAATCTAGCACCATGTTATACTAAAACATTAATTGTTTCTATCAGTTTGATCACTGAAAAGGCTAATTCCACAGAAAACACACTGAGAGTGTGAACTTCCCAAATTCCTGAACAACTACATAGCCTATACAATTCCAAAGGCAAATATCTGCGGCTACAGGCATATAATCAGGGATGGGTGACTCTGTCCATTTTGTTTTCACTCAGGTCCTTGGCATTAAGTTATTTTTGGCCATTTCTGTGTCAGTTTGCAAAGCTGTGGTTTTTTTTAAAAAGTATACCTTTTCATGCACATTTCCCTTAATATACTCTTTTTAAATCTATCCAAACATGCACAATTTATGAAAAACATTTTCTCTATTTATGGGTTTCTATGCTTATATTCTTTAAAGGTAAAGGTAAAGGTTTCCCCTTTGTCTAGTTGTGTCTGATTGTAGGGGCAGTGCTCATTTCCATTACTTAACTGACGGAGCCAGCGTTGTCAAAGATGACTCCATGGTCATGTAGCCAGCATGACTAAACACCAAAGTACATAGAATGCTTTTCCCACGAAAGTGGTACCTTCCCACCAAAGTGGTACCGGCACTTGCAGTCGTCAGAGTTGGCGTCTTAACTGCTAAGTCACTGTGTCCCTTGTCTCTTGTTCCTTTATTCCTTACTATATACATTTTTGTGCCTACATTTATTTGTGAACTGTTCTGCTGAAAATTCTGAAAAATAAAAGTTTTAGTGTTCCAGTTCATTCACAGGTGCAGGAATTGCAGCTTGCAAATAATTTTGTATAAATAAATCAGGCAGGACTAATTTTTTCTCCATCCCTACATATGGTTATCACATCTCTAATTACAGTTTTTGGTTGTGTGGTCCAGATGTGGCAAATGAATTTTTAAAGGAATCTCCAGTACTAAGAAGAGATGAGTCAAACCATAGCCCAACTCCATTAGATCGCCCAAAGTAGAATATATCTGCAGAGGCAGTTAAACTTATGTAAGTACAGTATGTAAGTGACTTCCCAAGCTCCCATTGATTTAATGAGTCCATTCTAGTTGTGACTAAAGATCAGATTTAGGCCTGAGATTCCATCCAGTTCTCTTTTCAACAATGTCCAAACAGATGTCTTTGGATGGCTCGAAGCAGCACAGAATGCAGATAGTAATGTGCTGTTACTTTGAGGATGAAAAGTGAATAGTTCTTAAAATGCTGGGGGCACTCCTTCAACATGCAGTCATATCAGAATTACAGGATGAGAGGGAGAGATTAGAGCAATTGTACAGTCTCTTGTCAGTACTACCATGAATAAAGTCATAGGACCTTATCACACGGGGCCCAAAGCAGTCAGAACCCAAACGAAATCCTGACCTGATACGTATTATTTTTCCGTGTGTCCACACGACGTCGCACAGAACCCCGACAGAACCCTGACAGAATGCGGCAAGAACCGAGATCTTTTGTATTTCGGTTTCTTCAGGAAGTATAAGTGCGCGACGGGAATCATTTCGCTTTTACCGTACTTATCAGTTTGGAAAGACAATACGTATTGGGGAGCATTTCCCCGCCCCCCGCCTGCGCTGTCCCCCAAACCCCTTCCCAAGCTGGCACAGGGTCCGCGCTCCGAGCAGAACATCCTTGGAGAAGGGGTTTGGGGGACAGCCAGTTTGGGAAGGGGTTTGGGGGACAGCCGCGACAAGTGACAGCTGCGGCTGTACTGAGCATGTGCAGGGCATCATTGCTTGGTTATGTCCGGGATTTTCTCAATTGTGTGCGAACAGCAAATACGGTTCCCAGGAGCGCTTCATCGTGCTTTCCTTAATTGCGCGATGATGCTAGTTGCATCTGATAGCCATTTACGTATTGTGGAGGTCCTTTTGGTTTATTCCTGGATTTATTCTTATTTCGCTTTCTTATCGCTTTGTGGCCCGCGTGTGATAAGGTCCATAGAAACAAAGCTTCAGAACAAACCCAAAATGAGATTGCTTCCACAAATATTCTCTATAAAGTCTCTGCAGGATCACCAATTCTCAGAATATTTGTTTGGCGTGTTTAGCAACCATTTTAAATCTTTTCCCTATCAATAACAGTATAGCAGAACTCTTCCTTATCTGGTCATTCTCCCTATGGATAATTTTGATTTCCAGCCAAAAATATCCACAGAAATTATACTTCAGGCTCTATTAAAGGCCAATCTAGTTGATTTCACCTCCTCTACATACAAATGCTTCCTACATACAAATTCAGCACTTAAAGATAGATCAAAGCCTCCTGCTCACTGCCTTGCATGCAAGATAAATGTTTAATGTTTTAAAGTTTAAAAAAATGTTTCAATGAAAAAAAAATCACAATAAAACTTACATAATAGAAAACACTTTGCACAGTATGCAAACTAAGCTACACAGGCCTGAGTATTTCAAATGAGCCAACTCTAAAATAGGCTGCTTGAATTTATACCAGATTTGACCAAAGGAGAGGCTTCAAAGTCCATATTGGAACAACCCCATTGTGAAGCCAAAGTGAAACTCTCTATCCTCCCCTACTTGTATTTCCTGTGTTGCTGTTCCCAAGAGACGCACTACACTGCTTAACCTTTTAAGTCTCTCTTCTTTTTCTGGCATCTTATTCTGACCGCCCTAGGATACTGTCCCAAATTTCCCATAGTCAGAAACAATTATAGAAAGAAGTAAAGTAGCATATTATGGCCAGACATGAATCAGGAGAAGGTACTCTAAAAACCCAGTCCATTTCATGTAAAGCACATCTTGCCATCAAGGAGCTGCTGCAAGAATTTAACCAGTGTATGCTCAACAGGGAGCTAGCATGGTATAGTGGTTTGAGTGTTGGGCTATGACTCTGGAGGCCAGGGTTCAAATCCCTGCTGTGGCATGAAGCCCACTGGGTTACCTTGGGCAAGCCACACTCTCTCAGCCTCAGAGGATGGCAATGGCAAACCCCCTCTAAACAAACTTGCCAAGAAAACCTATGATAGATTAACCTTAGGGTCACCATAAGTCAGAAACGATTTAAAGGCACATAATGACAACAGTGCTAAACAGGATTGAAGTTAGAAAATAGCTGAAGCACAAAGCTATATACAGGCATATCTCAGTTAACAACGATTCAGCAGTGGAGTTCTTTTATTTAACAAGCACTTTTTATACCATCCAGCCTTCCTTTTTCTTCTTCATCCTCTGTCTATCTGAAAGTTTTTATTCAGCAGCGCTGGCATTGGAAGAATGGTGAAGGAGGGCTAGAGATTCCATGTGAGGTTGCTGCAATGTGCCTGTGGGTAAGCAATGCAGTAAACTCAGGGCTCATTCCCCCTTACATTTAAACTGGTTTGAGAATCGCCTTGACACTGGGTCACAGATTTGATTCGGGCTGATGCATAGTTCCCACTAGGGAAGCAAATTGTTTCCTTATTCCATGTCATTCCCAGTAGCTTTATGCATGGGCTGGACTGGACTCCAGAGAGCTTTGGCTGAGAGAACCGGGGGCGACCAGGTTTTCCGGGCTCCAAGGGGCTGCCTTTCGCTCCAGAGGCAAAGAAGAAGACCCCGCTCTCCTTGGTGTGCCTGCCTTGCCTGGATGGAGCCCTGGGAGAAGGGTGACCACAGGCCCTCCTCCTTTTCCTGGAGGACACATCCTCCGTTCCAGCCTTCTGTTCAGCAGGAATCCCCAAAGGTATTATCTTGGAAGCTTCTGATTTGGTCAGGGCCTGCCTTTTGTGGGATGTCCTCCCTTTTGTGAGGTCTGGTCCTCCTTGCCATTGAGGACACCTGGG